CCTCCATTTTCCTCTCAGGATCTTGGGCACGCACGCACACGCGCCCGGCATGAGTTTAAGCCACCGGGTCCGGGACTCAGACCGTGGTCGACTATGTGGGAGTCCAGCAACATAGCCATTACACTAACTGTTGGTCCCAATAGAAGGATTTTTTTTTTAAGAATTATTTTTTATTTATTGTTTTTTAAATTAGATCAGAGAAACTTCTTAAACTTGATAAAGACACCTAGAAAAACTCTACAACTAACATCCTTTTTTAAAAGTATTATTTATGGGAACCAGCAGTTAGCATAATGGCTATGTCGCCTGACTCCCACGTAGTCGACTGCGGTTCGCTTCCCGGACCCGGTGCCTTAAAACTCACGCCAGGTGCGTGTGTATGCGTGCCCAAGATCCCGAGAGGAAAATGGAGAAGGGATTGCGGCATGACCATCCCCCCTGGGGAGTGATTTCTCGCCTTCTGTCTCTATGTCTCTCTCTGTCTGTATGGCGAGCGCACGCGCCCTCTAGCAAAAATCTCTCCAAAAAAAAAAGTATTATTTATAATTATTCAATTTTATTTATTATTATTATTTGCTATACGGCACATGTGCTCATCAGAGAGAGAGGGTAAGGTGAGAAAGCAAGCTGCCAGGTCTGGGACACAAACTGTGGTCCGCCATGTGGGAGTTCAGCACCCTAAACCACCATGCTATCCACTGGTCCCTAACATGATTTTTATAAAAGACTTTATTTATTTATTTAAATTTCACCAGAGAGTGACAAAAAAGAAAGAGGGAAAGTGAGAAAGCAAGCAGCCAAGTTCGGAGCTTGAACTATAGTTGGCCATGTGGGAGTCTCGCACCTGAACCATGCCACCTGCCATCCCCTATTATCATTCTTAATAAGGAAAAACTAGATGCTTTCCCTAATAAATATGTCTTAAGAAGTAAAAGTATCTTTATTTACAAATGACATGATTTTACATATAGAAAATCTTTTTTCTTTGTTTTTAAGAGATTTTTGCTATAGGGAACATGTGTTCTCTGGAGAGAAGAGGCAGAGAGACAGAAAGTGAAAAATCACCCCCCCGGGGGGATGATCATGTAGCAATTCCTTCTCCTCTTGGGATTTTGGGCACGCGTGCACACACACCTGGCATGAGTTTCAAGCTGCTGGGTCCGGGACTTGAACCACAGTCTACTAACTATGTAGGAGTCTAGTGACGTAACCATTATACCACCTGCTAGTCCCATATAGAAAATTTTAAGAAACCCTTAAGATTTTCTAAAATCTAAAAACTATTAGAGCTAGTAAACAAGTTCAGCAAGATTATAGGGTACAGCAAGATCAACACATGATAATATTTTTTTCTTTTGCTAAAGGGCATCTGTGTGTACACAGATGTGGAAGAGAGAACGACACTGGGGGGGATGGCCAAGCCACAATCCCTTCTCCTCCATTTTTCTCTCTGGAGTTTGAGCATGTACACACACCCAGCATGTTTTTCAAGCTACCACTTCTGGGACTCAAACCAGGCAGCCAGCCATGTGGGACCCAGTTACCATAAAGACACCATTGCCTGGTCCTCAAAGGTATTTCTTTCTTTTTTCTCTTCTTTTCTTTTTTTTTTTTTTTGAGAGTTTTTTGCTTAGAGTGCATGTGCTCATCAGAAGACAGAGAGAGACAGAAAGTGAGAAATCACCTCCCCAGGGGGATGGCCACACCACAATCTCTTCTCCTCCATTCTCCTCTCGGGATCTTGGGCACGCACATACACGCGCCCGGCATGAATTTAAGCCACTGGGTCCAGAACTTGAACTGCACTCGACTACATAGGAGTCCAGTGACATAGTCATTACATTAACTGCTGGTCCCCCTCAAAGGTATTTCTATATGCTGACAACAAACAATCCAAAAATGAAATTAGGGTCATAATTTCATTTATGATAACATCAAAAATAACAAAATAATTAGGAATAAATTTAATGAAAGAAACACAAAACTTACTGTGCGAAAACTACTGGGTCATTTGAAAAGCATTGATGTGTTTTTTTCTGTTTTTCTATGTAGAACTGCCTCATGACTTTTCTAACCCAATAAAAAAAATTATCCAAAGAAATTAAAGAAGGTCTACATAACTATAACATATCCCCACATTCACGGATCAGAAGGCAATGATCAGAAGATCATGGTTAAGAAGGCAATACCCCCAAACTGATCTTCAGATTTAACCTGGCCCTCATAAAAATTCTAACTGCATTTTTGGCATATATTGTCAAATTAATCCTAAACGTCTATGGAAATGAAAGACGTCCAGGATAGCCAGAACAATCTTGAAAAGAACAAAGTCAGAAGACCCACATTCCCGATTTAAAAACTTACTGTCAAGGCGTGCTAACAAAGCCTGCTACAGTGACATAGATGAACACAGGCATGACACGGTGAAGTAAGTGGGAAGTCCAGACACAAATTAGATTTACAATCAAGTGATTTTAAAAAAAGATGCCGTGGGACCAGCAGGTGGCATGGTGGTTAAGGTGTTGGAATTCCCACATGGCTGACCATGGTTCGAGTCCTGGATCTGGTGGCTTGCTTTCTCACTCTCCCTCTCTCTCTCTGTCTTTGGTAAAATTCATGTGAAAAATAATAATAACAATAATAAATAAATAATTCTTTAAAGAAAAAAAAAGATGCCCTAATATTCAACAGGAAAAAAAGTCTTTTCCACAAATAAATGGTACTGGACAATGGGCTAGCCGCATACACAAGGACAAAGCTGGACCCTACATCTCACAACTCACCATATACAAAAAGAAACAGAAAATGGATCATAGATTTAAGTATAAAAACATAAAAATTTAAAGCTCTTTGAGAACACATAGGTATAAATCTTCATAATCTTGGGTTGGGTTATAGCTGCAGATAGATATACCACAAAAGCATAAATGACAAAAGAAAAAATAAACTGGACTTCATCAACCTGTAAAACCTCTGTGCTGCAATTTTGTGACCCAATCTAAAACTGCAATAAGGCCAGCAAGTGGTGGATAAGATGCTGGATTCCCGCATGGCTAACCCTGGTTCAAGACCCAGACCTTGTGGCTTTAAAGCCCTGACAGGCGTGTGTGAGCATGCCCCAAATCCCAGGAGAATGGAGAAGGGACTGCAGCATGGCCACCTCTTCTGGAGGCTGATTTCTCACTTTCCCTCTATGTCTCTGTAGTGAGTGTGCACACCCTCTGGCAAAAACCTGAGAAAAAAAAATAAAAGAGATTTTGTTATATAACAGTGTCACTGAACTTTGCAAATACTTTATTGGGGCCACTAGCA